TGTCACTCTGTCAGGGGCTCAGGATCAATTCAGACTGAACCGTGGAAACCTTCGACCTCGACCCCTTTGCGCTGGTCTATTTTGCCCCTCTATTTCCTAGGAGGCAACAAGGGTTGGGCAGAGGGAGGGAGAGTTAGGCGATAGAAGTGACTTTCCTCGGCGGCTGGGGCTCCTACCTGGGGTGAGAAATCTGACGGCTTTGGGTACAAGGGAAATGGGTGGGACAAGGAGTGTGGGGGGGTCTGATCCCTGAGAGCACAGGATTTTCCTTTTTAATTAGTCTAGACACTATAATCTGTTTTAGAGGTGAATTTTTAGTGAACATTAATATGAAAACTGGATGGGGTGAACAAAGAGAAGGGAAAACAGGGAGGTTTTCAGGATAAAAGAAGGGAGAGAAGGGGGTGCTGATAACCCCAATTTTAAGTCCCTGATCTGAGAGATAGGCACGGATTAAACCCTCATATTTTGTTTGAGGGGATGTTGGGTTGCAGGTGACAAGGTTCATTTGGAGAAGGGAGGCCAGAGCTGAGTCCAGCTGCAAAGCAGGACTTGGATTTGGGCTCAGGAGTCTCCCTTTGCCCAGGAATGACCAAGGATTACACATGAAGTTACATATGCAGGCCTGAGGCCCTTCCCTTCAGATTTGAGGGTGTCTTTATTTGCATGCACAGAACTGCTGAGAAACTGGGAATTGGGGACCAGTAAGGACTCAGGACCATTTGGTGGCTTTTGATATGTTGGTCACTTTGATCTCTGCCCAGTGCAGAGGTGGGAATTAGATTAGAGGCTCCCTTTGGTATCAGGATGGAGTTGATTTTGTGTTATCTGGTCAATTGTGGGATACCTGTTTATTATGGGATGTTGAGTAACTGATTATTCTCGGTTACTGGGGGCTGCATTCAGGCTTGAGGGCAAATGGTAAATTTGAGGCATGGAGCTGATTTTGAAACTACATTAGTTTTGGAAATTCTGACACCCCCAATTTGGAGATTGTCATCTTGGAATATCAGGAGAACCTGCTAGGTGCTCTTGGGGAAGTGAATGAGGGTTTTGTTTTAGGGATTCATAATCATTGGAATATATGGACAATCTGATTTCGAGTACAATAGTTATGTTGGTTTGGGGGTGCATTATGTTTTGGGGAGCCATATAAGTTTCAAGGCTCAGAGTAGATTTGGGGGCATGAAATTCAATTTGGAGTTTTTTTCTTATTATGTGGTGGAACAGAATGGAAACTGGGAGAGTGTTTGAAGGCCGCCTATGATTGTGGGTCCATGAGGGGGGCCAAGCTTTACACTGAATGTTGTGGAAACTTACTTTGAGGAGGGGATGTTCTTGTGTGTGCACAGATAGCCAAGAAGCTTTATCCAGAGGAAGATGAGAGTCCCAGGGTGGAAAATTAAAGTTTTGGGGTGTTCTTATTTTGGGGTGTTTTGCAACTATTTGGGCAAAGCTGAGGGATGGATCAAAAGGTGATATTGATTTAGGGAGCTTACTTAATTTGGAGCACAACTGATTTGGGATTTCCTTTGCTTATAGCTCCCTTTCACCCCAGATTCTAGAAATCTCTTTCTTTAGTGAACCCCAAATATGCCCAGGATTTGACCAGAGAAATTTGGAAAAGGAATGTATTTTCTCTTATTTCTATGTGGCTTGAATAGATCTGAGGGAGAAAAGGTGGTTTCAGGCTCCGAACCCCAATTTCTTAAGGGAGTACACCTCAGTATGGGAGAAGGTGGAGAAAATGGGGTGTCTTGTGGTAAAGTGGACACCTCTGAATAGGCCAGTGCTGTTGGAACTGAGGCAAGGAGAGGTGGTGGTTGGGTACAAGGAGGTGATTCTTGTACCCTGATTTTCTAGAATAAGAGCCCCAAACAGAAAGCCGATAGAGAACTGGGAGTGTGGGTGAGATGGGGGAGGGGTTCCCCACGGCAGCAGGGGCTAGAGGGTAAGCCAGGCCAGCTCTGCACGCCTGGGTCCCTGCTCTGTTCGGCTCTCCTCCCCTCTCTCCCTCTCACCGCCCACCCCCACAACCCAAGGGAAAAAAACTGCCTGTGCAACAGCAATGGCAGATTCCAATCCTTCAGGCTTTCCTGAACCACCACCGAGACCAGCCAGGGGGGAGGGGAGGGAGGATCGGGCTTTCCTGCTTCCCTAAGACTGGGGCTATGAGCTTGACCTCCTGGCCCCTAGCCCTTCGAGGAGTGCCCCCCGGTATGGAAGCCAGGTGTCCTGGACCCTAGCCCCCGAGCGGGGGGGCCTGGAGAGCCGGGGAGGAGGAAGGAGGGAGTGACTTCCAAAATTGGCATCGGGACAGAGCAGGGCTGGCGGGAGGCAGGAGAAAGACAGAATTTTCCTGGAAAAACGGGGGTATCTGAGGACCCCAAATTTGGAGAGCTAGTCCAGGACCGTCCTGCCAACATCCTAGATTTTTTGGGGATTTTTTGGGGCCTCCGGGACCTCTCTAGATGGGGTGAGGAATGTAGTGTTGGGGGAATCTGACTGGGGCATTGCAGCTGCCTCTCCCGCCGAGTTGGACACGGATGGGCTGGGACGGGTTTGGGGGGGTGTCCCCAATTCTAACTGAGAGTGGAGGAACCCCCTCCTGAGCTCTCTTGTGGGGGTCCCCCCTCCCTAGGGCACTCCCCACTCCCTGAGCCAGCCGAGAGGAAGGAGGCCAGCGATGCGACTGGGGCGGCTCCTTTCTCCTGCACCCCAAATGTGAGGGATGCACCCCCAATTTTTTCCCCTTCAAAATAGGGGACCAGGATCTCAGGGGAGAGTAGCTGAGGTAAGTGGGGAGGAAAGTGTCCCCTGTTTTCAGGAGAGACGTGGCGGTTGGGGGGGAGGTTTGGAGGTGCGTGCTGGGGTGGGGTTGGGCTTTGTCAGTCTTGGAACTGGGGGGGTAATTGGAGAGGCTTTCTCTTATGGCCCTAAACTGTAGTCCCCCAGGTGGAAACCAAAGGCTGAGACCAGAGGGCCCCCCAACATCCCCGGCCGTTAGTAAAGTGTTTGATTTCTGTTTCACCCCTACAAAGGTTCTGCCGAGGATGGGAGCTGGGGGCAGCTGTTCAGTTTGGGGGCTGTGGAGGGTGGAATGAGGAGCAGGAGGCCTTGGCAGGACTTGGTGTAGGAGAGAGAGGGGTGTCAAAGGAGGGGTCTGGCATCCCCAGGGCCTAAAAAGACTGCTTACACCTACCATCTTAGATCTTTTTGATTGCTAAGAGTTTTGGGGGGTGTGTCGGAAGGTAGGGTGGTAAAGGGTGGGATGGGAGGTGGGAGGATAACTTTTGGGTTTTAGAGGATATTATTTTGATTTGCAGGAGGGATTTTGGCCCTTGGATTGATTTCTGGGGTGTGCTTTTAAAAAATCAAATCCTGGACAGGAGAAAAGGCTGAGGGAAGGCCCAGGGTGGGGGTGGGGAGAGGCATGTTTGTCTCAGCTTAAACGTGGCTTTTTGGGATGGGCCCACCTTCCTGCGCCTGGTGCATGGGCTGATGGGGGTTGTTGCCCTGGGTGGGACTTGGGTCCTGGGGGACCATGGGGAGTGGAAACAGAGCTGGGGGTTGAATACCTGGCCCCCAGGTCCAGAGGCCCCTCTCCCTGGGCCTGCTGCCCTCCTTTCCCCCTGCCTCCATTTCCTGCCTTTGGCCTCCATCTTGTGGCAGGCCCAGGGCCCAGGGCCACTTCCGGCCCCCCTCTCCCAACCACGTTCCGGCCCCACCACCTCTGGATTGCCAGCTTCCAACCCTGCTGTCTTTGGCCTCCTGTCTCTCCTTGCTTTCTCTTGGGTTCTGACCCACAGAGGGGGAGCAACGGACACGGGAAGCCTTGGGCCCCTGCCCTTGCTGACTCAGGAGAGTTTGTTGGTCCCCCATAGTCATTCCCTATTCCTCCGCCTCTGACCCCACCCTAGGGATCCCCTGAGCAGAGTTTCTACAGAGGGAAGATGGTTCCAGTCTTATTATAATGCAGACTCACCCCTTAGGCCCCTGTCCCTCTAGTTGCCTGCTTAGCTCCTAGCCCTGGTTTCTTTTTTCCCCAACCATTCTTGGGGCCATGTTTGCCTTTTATACGTTCTCTATCTCCCTGCTCTTGGTGGTGGGGTCTTCCCAGCACTGCCTCATGCTCCCTTCCTCTCAACACACCCCAGTCCTGCTCCCGCCCCAGCAGCACACTGTGGTTTGTACGGCACTGTGGCCACGTCCAAACCACACTGTGGTGTTAGAGCGAGGGTGGGGGAGGCATCGCTGAGGCTTGGCCCAGGAGGCCACCCTGGAGAAGTGACATAAAAGACATCTGGGGCCTTTTTGTGAGATTGGGGGTGGGGGTTGGGGGAAGGGAGGTATGAAAGCACCGGAAACAGCCCCTCTGAAATCCCCAGGGCAGTTTCAGGAATACTGACTGCTAGAGACCCTGGGAGTACATTCTGCCTCCAGAGAGCAAAGTGCAGTCTTTGTTCCCCACACCCAGCTCCCCTGGCTCTAGCAGCACAGAAATATTGGCACTGGGAAGAGAGTCTGCCAATATTGGCTGAGCTGCTCCAGGCAGGGTGGTGAGAGTTGCCGAGGAGGGCTGAGCCCATGGGGGTTAAGGAGAGAGGGAATGGTCCCTTATATTCCAATAATGTCAAGTGAAGGCACCAAGCTGAGAGGGAAATCTTTATTGTTTTCTGTATAAAAATGTCCATCAGATGCACATCAAAAGGGTAGGGGGCAGAGTCTTATACAGGAACAGCAAGGGGGCAGCCCCAGCAGTCTTTTGACACTCTCTCATGCAGGCCTTGCTCAGAGTCCTAGGCGATCCACAGGTCCAGGGTGAACAGTGAGAGGGGTCAGAGGTGGAAGGCTCAGCGAGACAGCAGAGGAGGGTCAGCAGAGGTCATGAGAAGGCCAGAATCCAGGGTCAGGCTGTCTGGAACAGGAAGTAAAATGGGCCGAGATGGAGCGAGCCCCAAGTATGCTTCGAAGACAATTCCTGCCTCCCCAAAGCCTCCCTCCCCCACTCTTAACTGATCCAACCGCCTGCACTGTGTATGAGAGAACCTACTCTTCCAAAGCCCCTATACAAGGGAGGGGACTCCTTATAAGACCCTCCCCTACCATCCAAGTGACACTTCCTCCCCGACCCCTTCAGCTGGTGTGGGAGGAGAAGGACTCCTACCCTGGTCGAAGTTGAGTTTCTTGGATGGAGGAGTTTCTCCTAGCCCTTCAATATCCACCAGGTCACTGTTGGCGTCGGAGTCGTTCAGAGCACTGAGTGTCACATCTGAGAGGGGGGCATAAGCTAGGTTCTAGGTTCCCTGACTGCCACCCTGGCTTTCCAAAGCTTCGAGCTCTCCCTCCTACCCCCACCCTAGCCACTCTACGGGAACCTTCACTGGGAGAGGAAGAGAGTTGTCCTTCTTTGACCCAAGCCCAATTCTCTCACTAAACCGCAGGTGGGACTTTAACCCCTAGGCAACAACTCCACAGCCCTCACCAGCCTTCTGTTTCTTTATGGGGGGACCCCCAGCTTCAGGGACACTGGAGCTGCTTGGTGGAGGGGCAGCTGGAGGAGGCGACAAGACACCAGATGCCACCTTCTTGGGCCCTTTCTTGGGTGACTCAGCTGGAAGGGGGATACCAGAGTCTTCATATACTTTGCGCTTCACAGTGGCCTTTATCTGAGCCCTGAAGAAAAGAGAGCAGGTTAGGAAGGAAGTCATCATCAGAGAGACTGAAGAAAGAAGGGAGGGGAGGGGCAGGGATAATGGGACACTCAGAAGGAATACTGGGGATCCCCCCCTTCAGAATCTGGATAAGAATCCAAGTTAGGGCCCCAATACTTTGGTAGGGTCTCATTTTACTGAATCTTTTCACTCAGGGCAGATGGAGTGTAAAAAGCGGATTCCCTGAACTGAGTAGCGGGAAGGGCCCATCTCCTAATTCTCTTCTGGGAGAGAAGTATGGATGTGAAAGGCTAACTGGTAATCCTTGATGATCTACAGGTAGATTCTGATCAACTAGCTCAGGACCACAATATCCCTGGAAACACAGCAGTAGAGTCTCAAAAGATCTGTATAAATAACCAGGCAACTCCCATTACCAAATTTAATTACTGGGTATCTCAGGCAAGCTAAAATCAAATTCTTGGAATGTCCTAATTACCAAAGCATTTGAGTAACTTCTGACCGATTTTGACAATTCCTTTATGTTTCAGTCCTCAAGGGGATGCTAACAAAACTAGCAACAAAGTAGGAAAGATGTTGAATTGGAAGGGTGTTCTGGGGAAGATGGAACAATGGGTACAGAGGAAGAAAGCTGCCCACCCCCCTCTTTCTCTACCAGCCACCCCTCCCTCACACTGTCCGTTCCTTGATGACACAGCTGATGTGATTAAGATCGTCCCCAAACCGCTTCACAGCAGCCCTCAGCATCTCTATCTCCGTCTCCGTCCACTTGGCACTGTCAGAGGGGAGAGGGGAATAGCAAAAGTGGGAGGAGGAGGGGTGTGGAGCCGGCCCCCAGGCTAGGCATTCCACAGCAACCAGCCTCCTCCCCCTAATCCCTGGGGCCCCTCCCATAGGTCCATAAAGAGGTCCTCCTTAAAAAAAAACACCCAAAATCTCTTAAGACGCCGTGGGAACCCCGAGGACCCCCAACCTCATGATACTGCAACAACCGCCACCTCATAAGAAAGCCTCTTCCCCATTATCGTGAAACAACTGCTGTAAACTGCCCACTGAAACCAATTCAACAAACAGAACACCTGAACACAGTCTGCAGCAATCTGGGGCAATTCCACAAGACTAGGGTGGGTAGCGGTGGTGGCCTACGGTCTGTGGGTTCGGGTTCTGAGCCTCAGTCTGTGGTTTTATCTGTCATTCATTCAACAATCATTTATTAACACCCACTCTGCGCTGTGCCAGGCAAAAAGCAAACTAAAACTAACATCTGTCCCTGCCCCAGAGAGTGTCCGTGTCCGAGACCGAGTCCAAGCTCCCGCACTCAGCGTCCACGTCCCAGCCCGGGCTCACGTACCCAGCCGGGGAAGAGTCGGCCACGGGATGCAGCTGCATCGTCAGCTCTCCGAGCTTCGTGAAGGCGGCACCCGCCGCGGAGAAGATCTCTCCGACCTGGGGGTGGGGCAGCATTACGGGGGGCCGAAGCACACCCCCGCGCCGCCCCGCCCGGAACCCCTAGCCCCACCCCAGACTCGACTCCCG